TATTAAATACTGAGTTTAACATTGGCTTTTTGCAGCGAAAAAAAAAATGATCTTCCACCTTAACCAGTTACAATGATCTTCATCTAAAATTCTTGAAAAACTTGGTATTGTAACTTGGCCTAAATCAGGACCAGTCATTTTAACAACAATGCGGTACATGAAAAGCTGAGGAAAAGCTATAAAATATGGATTAAAAGAAAACTACAAAAAAAATTAAAACTGACGAAAGTAAAAAAATTAAATTGCTCTCCTCTAAACTAAGGAAAAGTGAGTTACAATGGTTTTCATATCAGGTGTAGATAAAGCTTTTTTTTATCCTTGCTAAATTCTGATATGTGCTATGTGCTCTTTTTCTACTATTTTATTTTCAGTTTTAGTAGTGCATGGCCATTGACAATATTTTCTTTGTACATTTCTGTTCCATATCTCAGGACATTGAATTTCTTTTATTATCTACTGTTTTAGTACCAAACCTATCAGTACAGGATAGTAAAATAATATCATACCTCACAAATAATTGATGCTTGAACTAATAAATTAAATAGTAATTAATACTTCTTAAGATAACTATTCAGTACAAATATTGACAAATTATATATATGGGACCTTATACACAATGAATATTATGCAGTACTTTTTCTAAATAAAAAGTTCTAGGGTTAAATATGATTTGAGCTATCTTGGTTTAAAATGTAATTTTTATGAGTTATGTCATTTTTTGACTAACCAATTCAATTTAATATTTATATCAAATACATACAATTTTAGGCAATATTAAACTTAGGAAGATAACAGTGGGCTCTTGTTTGCTGTCCAAGGAGGGATTTAGATATATTTATACAAATAAATACACTAAATTTACAAGACATTTAGGCTTCCTTTATTAAACACATACAATGTAAATTGTAGAATGATAAAACAGCAAATGTAATAACATTTTTCTTTATAATTATTATATATATATATATATATATATATATATATATATATATATATATATATATATATATATATATATAATCATCTAATTTACTTACTGTTGCATATCATCCGCGTCATAGCTCGTAAGGTCACGTGATACCAATAGGAAATATTTAGGTGGTAGGTGTGTTCTTTTTTAGAATTACTTTGCCGAGTACACTGGCAATACAGTCACTAGACATATTTTATTATATATGCATAGAAATAATATATAAAGATTTCTATTAATGTTAACTTAAAGAAATACACAATATGTTTAATTTAATTTGTACAAATGCATGATAAATCGTCTTTAGGAAGAACATTTGTTTGGAACACACTGTAACTGTAATCGAACGAAGGTGATATTTTGGCATAAATTGGTAACACTTATTTGACAGTTGCAGTGCTGACACTTTTTGTACTTTATTATTTCGAATTTTGAAGTGAATACCTCTTGTTTTATATCTTTACCTATTTAATAAAATCTGTTTATTTTTAGAACAAAATTAGTGTGTTTTATTTCAAAAATGTCACATAAGAATTTAAATAGTCATTGTAAGGAGATGGTTATAAGTTTGCAATAATTATGTTACCAATTTATTTAAAATGAACTTATGATTTTTTTTATGCTGTGGCAACTATGTCAACTTTGATCTCTGTCAATGATAATGAAGTGCAACTGTAAGTAAATTAGATGGACTGTATATCCCAAAGAAAAATGGCTGATTTATGAACACAAATATGTTTTAATTTTACAAATTAATTTTATTAATTTTTTGCCTTAGGTTGTGCACCTATTTAGCCATTCAAAGTACTAATATTAATTACTCAATAATACTAATAATATATAGTAATAATACTATAATAATAATCCAACAAAGTGATACAATAATATAACCAATATGATGTGATGTTATTATAACTAATAAGGATATCTCTATCATTCTTCTCTATCACATGAATTTCTGATCTAACACACTTAAAAGAAATTATAACAATGAATAGAGATAGACTGGAAAACACTTTTCATATTAAGGAGGCTGTAGTAGTGAGTTTACTAAAAACAAACAAAACATGCAACTGTTTAGGGACTGTTTATTACACAAGGACAAAACAAAAGGAAGGATAAAAGCTGATACCTAATTTCCTATATTCATTAACTTACATTCACATAGCCTATTAATAATTTAATAGACTAATTAATTCAATAATAATAATAAACTCCCATAAAGTGGAGCTGATAACAGGATTTACACATAAGCTGGTACAGCTAGTTATTGGTTTCTTAATTAAGTCTAAATTGGAGCACTTAATAATTAAGGTTATCAATACTACCACAAAGGCAAATAGAGCAGATTGAGGATCAGACAGAATTGTATACTTTTGTTTTTGAATCATATTCTTCAAAGTTTAGGATGTAAACAGCACAGATACTAGCAGATACAGCAGTTGATTTAGAAACTGTTAAAATATATATATCGACTCTACATTAAAATCTTTATTAGAGAGCATTTATATTATATAGACACTAATAATATAAAAGAAGATTTACAGTAGAAGAAACATCAGTATAAATTTTACAAATATTTTAGTTGTGAAGTTTATTTTGTATTAAAAATATAGAAAGAAATGTCCTGAAAGAGGGAATTTCAATTACAAGTTTATATTGGTAATAGGAATATAATATCATAGTTAGATATGAAGAACACATTTTTTCTAACAGTCTTGATTATAGATTTGACACAGCTAAGTATAAACTTTCCTGTCATAAATAAATCTCTCAACTGCAGGGGAGGCTCATTACATTTGATAAACAGGACTGGAGAAGGAGTGGATTTGAGGACAACATCAAAAGTGATGAATAGTTGGTGGATAGGAACAGAAAAGTAAAAATTAATGGGAAAAAAACCCCGTAATTGGCTGTATACCAGCGTTTAAAAAAACACAGAAGTTCAAACACTTCACACATGTGTATTGTGGTATAAAAACAAACAAATATTTAAAACTTTATAAAAGTGTCGTCAACATTTAAATTCTTGCAGAACGTTTTCAATCTGAACAGATCATCCTCAGCGCCTTGTGTATTTGTTGCTAACAGCTGAGCTGAACAACTGAGTTGGTCTGTGTCATTTCAACTGACAAGTACAACATGCTATACTCTGTTTTTTAACCAGGAGGAGTAAACCAAAAAGACAGATTCACACCCAAGAAAGTTACTAGAAAAGTTACCAAATACATCTTCTTTTTTTTGTTGATTATCTCGGCCTTGCGGTAATCGAGTAATCTATATCGGACAACCTAACACGTCAATTTTAACCTAATTTTATTTATGTTTGAATAATAAAATAATTTTTTTCAATTCACTTCCAATATATATTACAATAAAAAAAAAGGACTTTTTTCACATTTGGTCCCATGTATATATATTTGAATATCGGGTGATCCAGTTTTATAGATCTCTTGAGTCTATGGTATTTAATTATAATTTAGAGAATATTTTGATCGGGAGAGTCGATAATGTTACAGATCTAAGTATGGTTTTTCTCAGAAATTTGTCTTTTAATAGTAGACCATATTCTTATTCTGGTATGATCAATTTCTTGAATCTAGTTTTTTTTTTCTTACCAGATACTTTGTATAAACAAGTGTGTACCTACTTACAATTTCTTTAATGCTGGATTCTTGTTTAATTTTGAGAGTGAGTTTGTCCCATTTGTTATCAACAAATAAAATTTACTAAGAAAAACTGGATTTCTGTGAGATAATCAACAAATGCAATCTATTATGTTGCATTATTGCATAATTTCGCAGTTTTCTTGTGATGGATCTACAACCAGGAAAACACAACATTACTTTACTAATGTTCTTTTATTGTGATGAAAACAAAATAGAAATGCTTCTTAACAAGTATACACTAAATTTAAAGGATAGTTGTTGTTTCTCTTATGATAATTAGATATAAATAACATACATTTATAAACACTAAACTATATTTAGTATAAATATTATCTAGAAAAATATCACATTAAATAATATTCGCATATCACCAAGTCTAAGTTATTACAAACAACTTAAAGAGTCAGAAATCGATTTATATATTAGAGGAAAATTATAATAATAAATAAATTTCACAAATGTCATTAGTGTCAAGATGTCATAATTTAGTTGAGTAAACTTGCCTGCGGTTGGACCAATTGCAAACAAGCATTAGGCCCGGAAAATTTGAATTACTCCTCCTGGTTAAAAAACAGACCATAATATTCGAGCAGGGAGACATGTAGTCCCTAAAGTAAATTTAAAAATATATCCATTGTCATCGACCTGGAGTCAAAACATTATTAAATGTAAGATTTGGAGTACTGTAAATCCATACATGGAGGTCTTATTTTTAACTTCTGTGTTTTTTTTTAGAAAAGTAAAAGATAAAAAATCATAAAGCTATTGTTAAACATATGTTAACTATGTATAAACAATGCTTATGTATTTGCAGTTAAGAAAACATGCTTACCTGTTTATTACATCCAGTTTCTGTTGAATATCTGCTTCAATGTCTAAAGCATTTTTACCGCTACCTTCTAGTAGTTGAAAACTGGCTTGAGTTTGTTGAATTAACTTGTTGGTTTGATTGTATAATGTGTCCATATTTCAATAACATTTCATTAAAAACGAATGTTTAATCAAAGTTTACTGTTTTGATTTGTTGTAGATGATTTGTCAACAATTTGTCAATTTTAAAAGAAAATAACATAAAATAGGTTACTTCTGTTTGTAGTCAATTGGTTTACAGCCTGATCACAAAACAAATGCTTATTCTGTGGCCTGATTCTATTAAAACATAAGTACATATTATAATAGGTAATGATTAATACCGTTGTTGTTTATCGAGTTTTGAGAATAAAAAAGAACATGCATATATACAGTAAACACAATTTTATCGGAGTCATATAAGTTGATAAGTATTTTTGTGGCTACCAAACTCCAGGACAGGACAATTTATTTAACTGTCCTGTCACTAATGTCAGTCAATCTCTCTCTGTATTTAAAGTTAGGTTAAGAAGTCAGCAAAGTCGAAAAAATCATATAAAATTGTTTGCTGTGAAAATGACTATTTATGACATAAAGGCTAATTAAAAACATGAACTATGAACTCTTTATTATGGCGAAATTACATTACAAAATCTTTTACACTCGTAAGATGTCATCAAAGACGTGGGGTGTCCATTTGGTCTCCCCTGGCTGAAGCATTTAACTCTAGACCCACTTATAAGTTTCAGTACCATAAGAATAATGGAGGTTTATTCGGTGTTTCCGAATTAACATCTGCTGATGGTTTTAATATAATAGAAGATACGTGTATTCGTAGAACAGATAAACTTATAGAGGAAGCTTTAAATCCTCAGAGACAGAAAAAAATGGTAGAAATTTTTGATGAAATGTCGGATTCTCTTTGCCAAGTTGCTGATTTGGCAGAGTTTATTAGATTAGCCCACCCTGATCAAAGTTATAGACTGGCAGCAGAAAATGCTTGTTGTGCAGTAAGTGGAGTAGTGGAAAAATTAAATACAAATATTGATTTATACAAAGCATTAAAACAAGCTGTTAAATCTGATATTGTTAAAAACACATCTTTAGATAAACATGTAGGAGAATTATTTCTTATAGACTTTGAACAATGTGGTATACATCTTCCAGACAATGAAAGAAATAAAGTAGTCAACCTTACTAACAATATCTTTACCTTAGGTCAACATTTTGTTACTAATTCTTCTACACCTAGGGTTATAAAGAAATCTGTTTTACCAAAAAATGTCAGGAACATTTTGGATAGTGATGGTGATTCTATTTTAGGTATGTTCATTAATTCAAATTGACACAAAATGAATCTGTATATAATATTTATTTAGTTACAAGATTTGTGTAATTATTTACATTAGTAAGGCTAATCAGACTAGTCAGAAATTTGGACAGTGGATTGTGGTTTACTTTTTATTCACTTTACAATCTATACATTTTTTCTCGCTGAGCTATAGCCTTTTTATATTTTTTCATTCAAAAAACTGATATTTTGACATCAATTTCAAACTGCATGCACCTTATAGCTGATGTCTATGATGTGCATAGTGCATACTTTTCCACATTTTCAAACCAATGTTGCTACACTTTTCAAATATATTGAAATATTGCTAAAATACTAATTCTCGAGTCCAATCATAAAGGAATAATGATCATGAGTATCATTTCAGTTTTCTGTTTCTAATGAGATTCATATACTTAACTGTATTTATTTCATTTGCTATTAAATTATATTAGATTAGTTTTAATTTCTTTAGTTTAGGTTTTAATTTGTTATTAAATGTCTTTGGATTAGGTTATGCTAGGTTTTATTTTCTTCAGACATATAATACCAGATAAACTGACTGCTGCAATACATTCACATTCCCCTAGTATGACAGAGAAAACTGACATCCCTGCATCTCCTTCTACTGTGCCAGGTTTTAAACAATGTGGCCTTCTCATTGGTCATGTGGTCTATAAACCTGGCAAATTAGAAAGAGATGCTGGAACTGCTTTGTGTCAGTTTTCTCTGTTGCACTGAAGAACAGGCTGGTATTGCAACCATCAGTCTATCTTGAATTCTCAATTTGACAACAGTATTTAATATTGGTACTTTGCTTTTAAATAGCTGTTTCCAAACAAATATGAAAGTGAGGTGTACTATGGAAAACATTTATATTTTTATATATAATTAGCCAAGACATTAATTAACAGAGTGTTATTATGTTTGTGAATGTTAATTTGATAACAGTTCTGTGTATTAGTTATTATTTGTTAGTTATTATTAATATATAGTTATTAAACCTCCAAATTAATGGATGTGTTGTGGTAAAATTTTAAAGAATATTTATTAACCTGACAACATTGTTAGGAACTCTTAAAAAATTATGTTGAGGGGGTGTGATATTTTACTTTTTACTTCTAAATGTTGAACATCATTTTTTTCTTGCTGTCACATAATTATATTCACTTGCATATTAGTATTATCAGTAAGTAATAACTGATATGTACTGCACTCTTATTAAAATCTAAATTCAATCTATTTACTCTGCAAAGAACAAATGTATATGTGGCAACATTAAACCTCAGTTATTGTATATTGTGCACAAGCATGCTCTATTTCTTTTTCCAAAATGAATGAATTTTGGCCTTTTTACAATATTTTATATTTTTTTATTAACTGGTGAAAAATTATTGGTATTTACAATTCATTTAGACATTTTATATAACTAAGGCTATTTCATATTTTGATAACAATTTCATGCTAATTTCCTACTTAAATAAATAAAAACATTAATACACTTATTGCATGTTTCTGTAATAAAAAAACATGAAAATTTTGTCTTTTTTTCTATTTTCAGGCTGTCTACAAAAAATTCTTTTATTTTTAAGAAAAATTGTTTCTTAATCTTTCTCTACTTTTCTCTCTGTGTTCTATCATTTCCAACTAAATTCCATTGCTAATAGTCTCTAAATAGTTTTGTTTATTATCAGCAATTAACTTATATTTCTTCTTCACTAGTATTTGTAAGCAGGCTTTATTTTCTGCATAACCTGTTTAATTTTTATTTTCCTTGCAATCCTTGCCAATATACAATCTCATTATTATTAGTTGTTTGTTACCTCTAGATATTTGTATACATAAGTGAATGTGGTTGACATTTTATTGCTCATGTCTTAGGCTGATGTCAATACTATCTGATTATTAGTCAATCTGCACTTTTATATGTATTTGGTTTCAGGATATGTATAAAAGTTGTATACTATTTTATGTTATGTATATGTTATATATTAAAGTTAAATATGTTTTTATACATATGATTCAGAAATGAACTACTTAAATTATTAAATATTATATTTCAGTATCTGGTTTATACACTGATTCCACTGATCCCCTTGCTAGAGAAATGGCATATAGAATATTTTTGCATCCAGATAGAGATCAAGATCAAATATTAAATGCTTTGTTGGAAGCAAGAAATGAATTGGCCCATATTTGTGGATTTCAAACATATGCCCACAGAGCTTTAAGAGGTTCAATCTCTGAAAATCCTGAACATGTCATGGCATTTTTAAAAAAACTTTCTGGAGATATTTATCAAAAATCTCAGGCTGATTTTAGTGTGATGGGAAAAATGAAAGTTCTTGAAAATGGTAACATTGGTCCACTGATGGCGTGGGATGTGCCATATTTTACACAAAAAGCTAAAAAGGACTGGTTTAGAGTTTCAACAAAAGAATATTCTCCATATTTCTCTTTGGGTGCTTGCATGGATGGTCTCAATACAGTTTTTGAAGCATTATATGGAGTACAATTAGTGATTTCTGAATTATCTCCAGGTAACTATTTAAATCTACATACAAACTATATTTTGTATGACACAGATTTGGTACTAGGTGTTGTATTTTACAGGGGAATGTTGGTCTCCAGATGTGTACAAACTCTCAGTAATACATGAAACTGAGGGACTTCTAGGATACATATATTGTGATTTTTATGAACGAACTGGGAAACCCAATCAAGATTGTCATTTTACAATCAGAGGAGGTAGAGAACTAACCAATGGTGATTATCAACAGCCTATTGTAGTTCTTATGCTCAATCTTCCAGCACCTCGTTGGTCAAGTCCATCTCTATTAAGCCCTAGCATGGTAGACAACTTGTTTCATGAAATGGGCCATGCAATGCATTCTATGCTTGCCAGGACTAAATACCAACATGTTAGTGGAACAAGATGCAGTACTGATTTTGCAGAAGTGCCTTCTATATTAATGGAATATTTTGCCTCTGATCATAGGATCCTTAGGAAATTTGCAAGACATTTTCAGACCCAACAACCAATTTCGGAAGACATGTTACAAAGGTAAAAATCTCATTTATGTACTTGTTGCAGTTATTTAAAATTTTCTAAACTACACATACAATTAAATGTATGAAATATATTTTTTAATATGTTTTGAAATGAACATTCAAAAATTAAAGACGGTATAAAGAAAGTTATTACTATGTATAAATAAAACTTAAGATATAAATAGCAATGTTCAAAAATCACCCTAATAAAATATTGTGAAGTAAACAGTATCTTTAGGACTATATTAAACGTAATTTCAGATTTGATTTAGCTTCATACAATAACATATATATATTAGCAAATACTTGAATCAATAACTTTCCAAAATTATTTAAATTCTCTACTTTTACTGCCAAATAAAAATTTTGTTTGTCTATTGCAATTATGATCTTTTATCACCATCAAAAAGTTTGATAAAAACAATGCACTTTTGTCAGTTCTGCATATTAAGTTCAATGTAAGAGGTTTATATACTGTGCACTGGAATAAGCTTTACTGTACTATTAACTTAATTTTTAGCACTTAATGGAAAATCTCAAATAGATAAATTTAAAATGATCATACCATACTAAGGTATCAAAGTTTCTAACTTTGCATTAGATCTACATTACCAGCCAACTCATATTTTAGTGCAAAACCCTTATGATCTAGTCAGGATCTGAACCATTCAGACTAATCAACTGATCAAGATATATCATAAGTATAGATGGAAAGATAAAGAGTGAGCTGTAATAAACATAATTTGTATACAAACAGTAATACCCACAATAACCCACAATATTATGGTAATATATGCGGGTAATACCTACAATATTATGTTATGAAAAATGTATTTTTCAGGGTTTTCAAAGTAAAAAAGTAAATACAACTTTTGTTGTAAATTTGATTTATCGATGTAACAGATTTTGAAATTAGTGAATGAAAGTCTTTATGGATATTATGTGACCATATTTACACATAAAACTCAAAAAAAAAACAAAACATCAATAGGTTAAAATAACCTCCTTATTTTTTAGAATAATCTTTTTTGACAACAATCTCCGGGCTGGAAATTGAAACATCAAAACCAACATAAAATGTAAATTTTATTACAATCAAATTGTGGTTTTTAAAGTATTATTTGATCTTTAAGAACACTTAATGATTTTTTTCTTTATACAAAAATAAATAGTAATAATAACTAATAACATGGATACAAGGTAACATATAACAAGGTTGACATATTTTATTCTGTAGTATTCAATCCTTATACATCTTATTATACTCTTCAAAAGGTAAAATTTAAATTAAATGAATTTAAGTCAAATATGATAAAAAAAAACGAATATTTGGCAAGGAGAATAACGATTTTTTAAATTTATGTTGGCTAATGTAGACTGGATATCTGTTTTGACACATTAGAGATAGATAATCGGTGGGATGCTTTTATGAATATAGTTCGGAAAATCTTTATCAATGTTTTTAACTCAAATAGATAAATACAGCAAATAAAAAAAATATAAAGTACTTTAAAAATGAGGATATAAAAAATTAAAAATCTAAGCTTTATGTTTTGTTTACACTGCCTAGTGTAATAATGTTGAATATAAAGATATCTACTGGACAGAAAAACGCAAATACAAATATTTACACCCTAAATCTTGAAAAAATTGTTATAACAAATAAATTTTAATCTGTGGTGTTATCTGTGATTAATAATGTGACGTTATTTGCTCAATTATGTTAAAAAAGTTATGCAAATAAAAATTTACTCTACTCTAAAAGCAGGGTTAAAGGTCTCTGGAGAAACATGAATTCCTTATAAAATAAATGGTTCAAAAGTTAACATACAATTAACCAGAGGGACGGATGGAATATTGATAAACAATGCAAAATAATATTGCACTCAAAATTACCCTTAACACATATGTTTTAGTATTGAAGCGACATTTTTTTTAAGTCACATTCATTGGAAACATGTTAGATGCTGACCTGATGAAATCCCAGATTATTTTGGGAAGATCACATGCAATTCTCCCAAAAAATAAATATATGGGTTGCCATATTCGGTATCCGTATTGCAGACTCAATATTTATCTACTGTAGTTTAAATGGTTTAAATAACATGAGGCTGAGATAACAATGGCAGTCAACGATATATGTATGTAATTACAACCATCCACAAGAATTTCCTCAAAACATATTTCAATAAGACACCCAACTAACTCTAGAGTGTGTGCATAGATGGCAGTCCATAGATAATATTTTTCCAGCAAGATGGACAACTGACAGTGATATTTATATAGATTGGCTACCATGGCCTCCTGACAACTGTATTAGATTTTTTCTATGGACTTAATTGATTAGCAACGCCAAAAAATTATATTGCAAATGATGTTGCAAAAATATAGAGAGGAGACGAAAAAAGTTTGTATTACTGCAAAGAAGTAAACAGGGAACATTTTGAACAGCTTTTACATTAAAATAAGTACTCAGCAGTTTTTTGTGTCAGTTTTTTTATTATAATGCATTGACTGACTAGTAAATTTTGTGCTATTGGTCAAATTTTGACATCGACTGGAAGCAGCTAGAAATGGAAATTATGGCTGTCATCTGTTCAGTCAAAATTCGAAACTTTGATGCTATAGTTTATGATTATTTTAAAAATCAACCTGTATGAGCGTTTTATTTATGTGCTAAAAACAAATACGTTAGTAAAGAGAGGGGGTAATACTTATTCCATCCACAGCACATCGAAATGACAAAATTCATTATAAAGATAAATAAACATATTTATTTTCATTTATTTTTTTTTCTAGGTTATGTGCGTCAAAACGGCTTTTTACAGCTAGCGAAACTCAGCTGCAAGTATTTTATGCTGCTATTGACCAAAAATATCATGGACAACATCCATTAAAAGGTTCTACTACAGAAGTATTAGCTGAAACCCAGAAAGATTTTTATTGTTTGCCGTACATATCAAACACTGCCTGGCAGCTTAGATTTAGCCACTTGGTTGGTTATGGTGCAAAGTATTATTCATATTTAGTGTCTAGAGCTTTGGCTTATTCTATTTGGAAAACTTATTTTGAAGAAGATCCATTTAACAGGTCAAACGGACAAAAGTATAGAGAAGAATGTCTTAGTCATGGAGGAGGAAAGAATCCAAGGAATTTAGTTACAGACTTTTTAAAAGTTGCTCCTGATCCTACAGTTTTGGCAAATTTTTTGACAAACGAAATTGAATTCCATCAAAGTCAAGTTGAAATGGTTTTAAAAAATCATAAGGAACTTTTATCATAGTGATGTATTGATCTTTTATATGTATGTATATAACTTTTCGTTGTAAATAAACATTTCATTTAAAGTTATAGCTATAATAAATTTAGCAGTGAAATAGAGTGTATAATGAAATTAAATTTTCGGGCAGAGAAAAAATACAGTAGATATAAAGACATATACATAATAGACATTTATAAAAATATAGACATAGTAACAATCTCCAAAAACATAGCAGCTGTCTCAGTAATGAAGCAAAAAGCTTATCAAGCTCGTAATAATTGTTTAACTCCAGTGAACCTAACTAGTTCTTGGTTACGAAACATGTTAAGTAATTAAGTAATCACAAATACTCTACCTGTTTCTACCATGTCTAAAGAATGAACGGGAAATTTCGAGAAGCCGATTCGGATATATATATATATATATATATATATATATATATATATATATATATATATATATATATATATATATATATATTTAAAACTAGAGCTAAGATTAATACTATTACAGGGATTAATATTAAACATCCTCTTCGAAGTCTTCTTCAGGACTTCCGAGGTGTCGGTCTCCCGCATCGTCGCAAAGGCGTATTGATCTGGAGACAAGCGTATTAACGACTGAATTAATGTGTGAAGGGGGATGATGAGAGTTAACATGCAAATAGCGATTGGTATGAGTGGGTTTTCAATAAACAGAGTGATGAAAACCTTGGAATTGGTTTTTCTTTATGATAACGTTGAGGAACGGTAGGGATGAATCAGTTTCCACCTTTATCCTGAACTAGATACTAGGACGTATACCATTCAGATGGGTTTGAAAAGATGCCAAAGCATTCCTACCATGGGACCAAATGACGAATGTTTCATCAACATACCGTAGCCAACATGTGGGTTTAAGTATTGATGTGGATATTGCTCGGGTCTTGAAGTCTTCTATAGAGACATTGGCAATTACTGGAGATAGTGGGGAGCCCATTGGGACACTATTTATTTGTCTGTATAATTGATTTTGGAAGATGAAGTAAGTGTTGGACATACAATGTTTAATGAGAGATAAATGGTCTTGCTGGATACTGTATTTAGTTTTCAGAATATTTAGAGTTTCGTCTATAGGAATGTTTGTAAAGAGTGAAACGATATCAGAACGTGCTAGAATGTCTGACAATGAGATAGGGTATTGTTTAAGAAGTCTAACTAATTAACCGCGGAAACATATATATATATATATATATATATATATATATATATATATATATATATATATATATAAAAGGTTCAAGAACTAAACTCAAACTATATATATATATATATATATATATATATATATATATATATATATATATATTCGTATATATATATATAATGGAATAATATCTGAAAACTTTCGTTTGGATAAAATATATCTTTTAACAACCGATTTTGATTTACTGACCATTTCGGAAGTTAAATCGATTGTAAGTTTATAAATCGCAACTTGAAATTTTACTTAAGTTGTGATATACAGTAAGAGGAGATAACTTGAATAATAGGATTGGAAATATAATAGCTTTATTGCGTTTTTAAGAATTATATTGAATAAATAGTACACAACAGGCATGTGTTTGTTTTAACATTTTTATTATCATTAACCCGCATTCACAATAGTACGGATGTGAATAAAATAAATTATACATTTGAGATCAAGATCTAAAAAATTATATATATATATATATATATATATATATATATATATATATATATATATATATATATATATATATATATATATATATATATGTATATGTACAACAAATGAAGAGCATTACAATAATGATACATATCACTGGTACCTTAAAGAATAAAAATGTAAACTGTACAAGAAGAAACTTTATTTGGCAAATTAGGCTTAAAATATAATTCTAGTAAAACGGTCCAAATAAAATTTCCAAATCTAATATTACAACTTGTAAAATTTTTTAAAATTAAATCACGATTATTGAAAATCTGGGAATAACAAAATCATTGAAAAACTATGACATTTTGTAATAGGTAAGTTCTTAATATATTATAATTCTTGTTTTATAATGATGTAGAAGGAAGACTTGCGCTGTCTTCTACGTAGTTAATATTTGCATTGATCTCATGTCGCAAGTGGTAAAGGAGGTGGGTTTAGAACATTTTTTACCTCACATAGCACGAAATGTACCGATAATCAACTAGATTGTTTTAGTAACAGTTCTGATACCATAAGATATTGGTTACAAATATTAAGAAAAAAAATAATAATAAAGATTCGTAATATAAAATATAAAGTTACGATGTATACTTCCAACATAAAGTAATATTTATTTGTAACAATCCTAATATCTTCTCCAAAGGTATTATTATCTAACTACAGTAATAACCCATAATAAGGACCTAATATTCAGGAGCAGAATGTTTCCTTTTTAATGAAAATCCGGTATGTAGCGAACAAATATCCTAAAGATGTAATCCAATAATTAAAATTTGGTAAGTTTTTAATTAGTTATTAATTTTGCATATTTTTTACAGATTGTATGTGTACACAGTACATCCAATAAAAAACAGATTTAAATAATACATTTAACAAGAAGAATGTGTATACACACATGAACATCATATTTAAAGGAAGGTCATAGTAGTTCATATCATACTTTTTTTTATATGTTCGAAAAAAATAATTTGGTAATTTTTAATTACTTTTTAATTCTTTACTTTTCGGTTAGTTTTGTTTGCTACGTATTTCTTTAGTTACTGCCGAAGGTCCTGTAAGTATTCTTAATATGCAAACACTTTTGCTTTGCTCAACTTAATATTCGGTTGAATTGGCATTACGTCATCCAGCCATACTGAATCACATTTTCTAATTGTTGATGTTACAATACCCGGTATATATCGATGTTAATCCACAAGAAAGAAAAAAGTAAAATAACTAAGATTTTATGATTTTAAACGAGCGTCACATATCCTAAATTCTTTGTGGTTTTCAACTTAAGAAATAGCATACCGTGACAGTTAAGTATCTAAAGAAAATTGTTTTCTTTAAGATGGTGGTGCTCTGGATAAATAGCGTGGTGTCCGAACGTTGTAAGTAAGTTATCCATTATATGTCTACCTCTTTTCAAATTAGTATTTATATTAAAAAGTATTAAATTGGTTTCATTTGAATATAAATGTAAATTTCCCATTCCAAACACTTTTCTTTTCAAGTCGGTGTCCATATTACTGCATTATAATAAACTAATTAATATTTTCGATAAATAATAATATAATACTTATATATAATACATATTAGATAATATATATATATATATATATATATATATATATATATATATATATATATATATATATATATATATATCAAAAACTTTTCTACCATATAATGGTGTAAGGTTCAATTTACTTCTAAACAAATTTCTTGCGGTTTCGTGTCAACATCCTTGCGTCTGTCCATATCACTCCACTTCTCTCCGATATCTTTTTTCCTATTTTTACTGTATGTTTCATCCGGTGTAAATGATCCCACGAACTCAGCTGTCTCTGTTCTATAAACTCCAAAAGTGGATTGTATTTTCAGTTCGTTTCTTATGTGTTCCTTATTCTATCCATTTTGGTAACGCCTTTAACTCTTCTTAAAAACTTAATCTCTATAGATTGTGTTTTTTTTTTTGACGTTCCGTTAATACCTATGATTCGCTGTCAAAATTCATTACAGGTCTAATACTGCTTTTGAAACCTTTCATTTTTGTATTCCGTGATATTTCTTTTCTACGTATAAATGCTTTGTTCATGGTATGATAAAGTTGTAACGTTTTCTCTGTTGTGCTATTGATTTCTGCTTCTAGAGATCCTGTTTCTTTTATTATTATTCCCAAGTATGTAAAAGTTTAAACTCGTTCTATTGTTTTCAGTGAAGACTTTCCTGAAGTTATTTTTTCAAGTTTTTGCAATTATCACCAAAATCTCAGCAAATAATCCTTCCAAGATCTTTGCAGATTTCTATACCCACATTCAATTTTATTTTTATTATTATATTATTTTTATTTTTTTTTACTTCTTGTTATGCATTCCTTAATAATTTTGTCCATAAATATTAGAAATAGTGTTGGCTAAGTGCTTCTCCCTGTCTTAAACCTCTACTTATTGTAAACGCTTCTGATTTTGAATTATTATTAATTACGGCATGGTTCTCATTGTATATTTTTTGGTATCATTCTTAGTAACTTGTTGCCCATTGCTTTTTATCTTAGTATTTTACATAGTTTCTCTCTTGATGCTTGATCTTTTAAGTCTGAAGGCTTTTTCTCTGTTAAGATATGTTACCGTATAGTTTATTTTTCTCTTGCAGCGCTTTTTGTGGTATCTGTTATGATATAATAATTATAATAAATAATATTTCGTGTACATTAGTGTAAGTAATTCGAGCTCAAGAACAAAAAATAATTTGCTAGATCTTAATAATCTTCCCAAACTCCACGATAATTTATATTTATTTAAATAATTTGTAGTTCCTATAAATTAGAACTCGGAATAGTTACCAAATGGTAAAGTGATTGAAATGACTTTTCTACAATTAGATTGCTACCTTATTTATCTGCCAAAATACCTCATATTTTCAAATTTTATTTGACTTGTCGGTGCATACTCTTTTTTAGCTCTTTCTGTTCATAGATTAAAAATAATATTCAAACCAAACTTTTCCTTCTCCAAGGACGAAGAAGAACACTCTGGATCCGAAATCTGAACAGATATCCGCTAGAAGAAAAAACTTTTCCTCCCTTTTATTAAATTTATAACCAAGTTATATCCAACATATTTATAAAAATACTGAATAATACCAGAAATTAATGCGGTTCTATTTTGATTATAGAAGTTCGCTAGAAATTTATTTTAAAAAATTAAAAAGAAAATCCAGGAAAATTCAGAAAACATGACTTTGACTCGTTCACTAATTATCTTTCACAAAATGTATTATAATATTTTATCACTACAGCTGTTTCGGCAAAGTGCCTTGCTCAAGTGGCACTTGAGCAAGGCTGCCGAAACCACTGCAGTGATAAGATATTATAATACATTTTG